CCATAAAACTGAAAGGGCTGCCCAGAATTTTTACAATCACTATCTGGAAAAGGTAGAGAGAGCCACAGACTTATGTTTATTATACTCTAGCACTGTAACAACTGCTATGGGATTAGGATACAGAACTGCACTGCATGCCAGAGGTCACATTTCCCTGGTGATTTAAAGGTTCAGTCTTCTGCCAACTTAATTTAGAAACATGAAGCCCAGCTTTGTTAGAAGAGAATATTTTGATAGTTTTTCAAAGTATGGCAATTCAATAACTATTTACCACAAATTTAAAATCTGGAGTTCATCACCTAGCAAACTGAGGAATAATTTTTAAATTTATTTTATTAGCCTCTTGGTTAGATCAGCTTTGTGTCCTCAGTCCTAAGTGACAATACGTTCTGTGTTAATGTTCAGCATCAGGGATTTCTAACACCCTCTGCCAATGGGTTAATTAACCCTTCCAAACAGCCTACTCCTCATAAAGCTTTTGGCAGTTCTAAACAATGACACTAGACACTACCTTTTTTCGAAAGCAAGAATATGCTGTTTCACTACACTGTTTCTCCTGTAAATACTGAACACCTTAAAAAAGAAGTACAGGGAAGCTCCTTTGATGTCTAGCAGTCTTCTAAGACTCACGGTGCCCAGAAAGAATCAGTCAGCTCAATGTGAGAAAAGGGATGAGCCAAGAATCAAATGCGGCATTGTGCAATCTTGCTGCTCTTATGTATTTGCACAGAACTCAGTATTATTTCTGTTCTGAAAAAGATTCAGTGTAGATGCTTGTCACTAGCCTTTCCCTGAGACTGAAGTATACATTTAGTCACAGCTCCAGTAATGAAAGTATTTAATGTACTTGTTTTCTTGATACACAGTATCCATTTACTGTTCTCTCTGTTGTCTAGTGGTGGGTTATTAGTGAACAATGACAGCATGATGTGCCAGAAAACATCAAAAAGTAAAATATAATGCTCCTTGGCCAATGTTAGACAAAACCAGTTAAGGCTCAACTTCTGTTCTTTTGGACACACATATACACCTTCAAAACTAAGGCAGGCAATATATGCATCAGAACCAACAAAGAAACAAAACACTGTGCAGTCAGCACCACAGTGAAACAGTACTTTGGATTATAGAGATTTTAACCAGTGTCATCTGCATTTCAAACCCCCAGTACATTAATCCACTTTGCCCAAATGCCACAGTCATTAATATGCTGCAGCTAAGAGTTTCAGTTAATACAGAGTGAAAAAACAGGTCTTTTAAAAAAACAATGATTACAAAAATAAAAGCATGATTTCTTGATGGTCTCCCTGAATCACAGTCACCTAAATAAAGCTTCAATCAAGGAAAAGCTTAGCAGGAAAGCAATCATTCTTCTTTTTGTATGTGTAAAAAAAGACCAGGAACTACAAGTAAATAGCAGCTGAGCAACAGATGAGGCACTAAGTGAAATCTGTTAGCAACTGCTAACAGCTTTGCTATTTTCTGTTGTTAAATTAAAAAAAAAAAAAGGCAAAAAACCAATGCAGTAGCAATTCCAATATGTTCAAAAATCTCAGATGCAAAAGACTAAAGCTCAACAATTCTTGTACTACAGCTGAGTACTTGGATTTGGTTTTAATATCTTGAAATGCTTTGTTATTGATTATAAAGAAAAAGCCAGCCAATTCACATGGCCCCTATGAAGGTAAAACTTCTTACAGCTGTACGTATGACCCAGCAAGCACAGCACAAAAATCCCACCATAGACAAGTAGGACATTTCCAGCAGCTGTTTTAGCCTCAAATTCTACTTTCTTTTGTCCTTTACATCTGACCCCATGTCATTCACCAGAAAATGCATGTGTCTTAATTAGCACTGAGCTTTCTGGCAAGATCTCTCTTTTTCATTGTCCTTCTGGTCCTGGAGCTTTCACCACAGATGCTCAATTCCTACTTATCTCAAGCCAATTTTGACATGGGTTCAGCAAGTCTGTTTTTCTGTTTGGATGCATCCCACAGCACAGCAGAACCATGCCTGCACAGCTGAAATAGCTCTGAACAAAGCTGCCCATGAGCTACAGGCAGTATGAACATACCAGAGTGGAGGTTCCAGCTCCCGGTGGATTTGTCACATGGCTGCAGTCACCGGACTGGTTGAAAAAATTCATGACATCACCTAGTCCCAGGAATATATTTCCTCTTCTCACCCCTGCCACTTGCTTTCATAACTTTTTTCCCTTGGTTTTATCTCTCCTGTCAGTCTAACAAGGGCTCTGTTCCTCCTTTTGGTGGTTGCACACATGGTGGATCACAGCACAACCACCACTGTACATACAAAATGCGCACTATATACTTCTTCACCAAGATTTCTGCTCCACTACAGTGTTTACATGTGTAATGCCCCCTGTGTGTCAGGTTCCCTTTCTGATTTAAATTCATCATGTCAAAAACTAGGCTCATCTCAGTTTCTAAATACTTGTCTCTACTTCTTTCTCTCAAGATACCAAGAATTAGTAGCCTGCTGCAGAAGCTCACAACTTTTGTCGTCTTAAACTTCTCTCTTTCCTTCCACAGATGTTCTACCAATAAAACATGCCAGTTTCATTCCCGCAATGTCATAAAAAAATCTGGATGTTTCTTTCCATCCATTTTGTTAAAATACTTATCATTCAATCCTCCTTCCCATCCCTCCTGACACTCCTTGCCCTTCACATTAGTACAAGACTCCAGTTGGAAAAGATACCTCTCGAATCTAATATTTAGTTGGTATTTGACCTGCTCTGAATGCCACTATTAGTTCCCTATTACTTTTCTTTTAAAAACATTCAGATCAGTTGTTTTTGCTGTTCATGTCATACACGCCAGTTTCTGTCTGAAAAAATACCAGCCTGGATTTGCTCATCTTTTAGCAATTGGGGACATATGGTCCCCAATTCTTTTGTAAACTCACACTGGCTGCTCTTGTTCAAGCTCTGCTTTACAGGTCTGCACCCTTCTTTCACGTCTATCATGTCTAGATAGACATGATATTAGGGAATCATAATACTCTCACCTTTTCAGGACGGAATTTCTTTTCAAGTTTTATATATTCTGGAAAGAAATATCAACAAGGACACAGAACCTCTAAAAACCTCCCAGCTGAACTGTTAGTTCTTACCTACTTCTTCTTTGTTTATTTTAACATGTTGCTTCCATCTTTGTTGTTTTGTAGTGATTTTCAGTGGTGTGGGATAGAAATACCCATTCTATTCTGCCATACAGATAAATATTATTAATACTGTCAGCTGGGAAGACTATCAATCTAAACAAAAGGCAAGCTGATGTAAAGAGCAGATGTATAAACCTTGTGTACTACTAAATTGTGGAATATATTCTTAAAGAGGGAATCACTGCAAATAGTAGCAACCTGTTGTTCGTAGCTTTGCACATTGACCATCATCAGAGTTTCTGTCAACTACAATAGCTTGTTTTGGATTCTGATGTCAGCCCACATTCTTTTTGGCTCAGATATAATACCCCTGTAAGATTTTACAATTCAAACTCTGAATCTTCTATGTATCTTCGATACATGAAACAGTACTTATCCTTTTGTCAAACCTCTGTGCCACTCCCCTCTTCTCTCCTACTCATGCCAAAGAGGTAAAAAGAAGAATGAAAAGAGATATAAAGCTTAAGATACACAAGAGAGTTTTTTAAGTCACCCTTCTAATTCAGTTTTTGACTACCCTTCAGCGTTAAGTCCTATTTATTTAAGCAGTATGAAGACAAATGCACGCGCAATGCACAGGTGTGTGTACCTGCCCCCTCGGCTCCTGAAGAGCCCATTTGAAAGCAGACTGGCACAGCCAGGTATATCTTATGAACACTAACAACTGCTGACATGCAAATCTGGCACACAGGCATGCCTGTATATTTTTGACAGTGTCTCCACAGTGTTCAAAAGTTGATAGGGCAGTTGCTGATACATGGAAGAAAGTCAGCTAAAACCTTCCATGTTAATATTACACAAATAATTTTACTCTAGAGAACATAGTGACAGAAAGTTGTAAGGCAGTTCATACATTTTATGTCCTAATGAACACCATGATCAGTGAATGATCTTGCATTTGAATTTCTTAGATTACTAGATAAATGTATCCTTGCCTAAACAATGATTGTGGTTTTTGTATATATGTGTTCTGTCTACAATTCAGCACGGCAAGAAACACCAATAGCTTCCTAAAGCCAATGTTAAGTGTTCAGTGCCATAAATAACCACACTGTCCTTTAGTCTTATCTCCTCCACGTGACCAAAAAATTTCATCACACGCCCTGTATCAAATGCAAAGAGCTACTTAAACACTTAAATCCTCCACAGAGTCAACAGGTACCAGAGGGAAGGATGTTAGCAGCCAGTGCCTACAGCACCAAAGGTTCCAGCAAGACCAAGGAAATGAGAACTCTGATTTCTCTAGAGTATGCAGAGCCACAGAACAAAGAGCCACAGCAGAAATCCAAACACTTGCATGCTGGGCAGGGAGGACAGTGAACTTTTGTTCACTGCAGGCAATGGCTGAAGCCATAAAGCAAAGCATTTTTCATAGGTAGTGGCTCTCAACAATTGCAAATGTTAGTAGACCTTTTGCAGTAACACAAGGAATTCTGCTTTCCCAGCAGCTTGTGAAAGAAGCAGATAAGCAAGGGAAGAGAAGGCAAAGGTCTGAGTGGGAGCGGGATTTGTATTACTCAGAAATACTCCCCACAAATCCTTCCCCACCGATACATGCTTGTTTTAAGCCTAAAACCTTGAATCTTTTCTGACATATGGGAATGCATTTCAAAGGCACAAAAAGACATTTTGTCTGCCAAATGTCTTCTGCCGCAGTTACAAGTTTGGTGTAAAAGTATAAACTGCTTTCTTTTTCAATAACATAAACATTATTTGAGTCCAAGTGAAATAATTTTTCCACTACTTTACGAGAGCATTGGTTGTTTCCTATCTTACAGAGACAATGGGTGGCTGTTTATCTTTGTAAAATGCCATACCTCAACATGACACCAAAGCCTTTCTTCTTTTTCTTTTCTGGATCTTCATTTTCTTCTTTCTTTTTCTTCTCTTTGATTTTAGATTTGCCCTTTTTCTTCTCTTTCTCCCTAGTTTTTTTGTCTTTTTTTGCTTTGATTTCTGCATCTTCTATTTCAGGGTTCCCTGAAGGGGCAGATTCCACATTTTGAGCTTCTTGACCACAGTGAGAGCTCTTATCAGAGCCACCATCTGCACAGAATGAAAAAGAAGCAATGAGGATGGCTATGGGCCACTGAAATACAAACATGTGAAATACAGCAAGAGTGTCTTCAAAGAGCTCAAATGACTCACAACACTTACTCATTTAATTGAATAATTTAAAAAGCAGACTAAACAGATCCAGTGGATTTAAATAGATTTATATTGTAAATTAAACACAGAATTATTTTAATGAATTGTTTTCTAGTTATTGTTCCTGATATAAAGATCCTGATACAGTAAAGCACTGTTCTATTTGAAATCTAGCTTGTTAACCTTCATCAGCTCAAGAAAACCATGTGCTGAGTTTCAAACAGAGAGCTTACTTCAGCAAGAGATCCTGGTGCACACATAACCAACCTGTATAACAAAATGACTTCATTCCCTCCCTGGAATCCTTCTATTTTAGTGGCTGAACAAGAAATGGATAAAATGTTCTGTCTGGCTGGAAAAGAGCCATGTTATTTCTATTGGGGGGCTCAGGATCCAAGCACAGTTTTATGCTCTATACTAAAGGAGATGCATTTCCAGACTGGGGTCTATAAAACCCATAGCGACAGAATGAGCAGCAGGGTGCTATCAATACACTCTGCCTTATCTACAACATGAAACAAATTTCCTGGCTGGAAAAGGGGGAATTGTAAAACAAGAGAGATAATTTTTAATGTAATCTGAAGAAAGCAGCTGCTTCTTGAAGTTGAAAAACATAATTATTTAAGGATTGAGTTCTAAATCCTCCAACCCACCCCTGCCCCAAAGGAGATCAGTGAAAGACTTTACACTAAACCCAGTCAAGGTTGGATGGGGTACTGCAGAGACAGCTCTATTCAGTGGAAGATGTGAACAGCTTTTTAAATGTGATCAGCTTAAATTGGACTAAATCACTTGCTCATGGTGCTCTATCAAGCTGGCCCTCAGCAGTGCTAAGTGAAGGTGGCTCTCTCAGTGAGTGCCATCAGCAACATACCCTCCTCTCCATCCTCAGGTCCATCGTAAGACTTGTCAATGGCAGCTCGGAAGCTCTCATTGCATCCCCGACCCCGCACCACGTGAGGCCTGGGTCTGTGAAAAGGGAGTTCATTCTTCCTTACTTCAGCCACAGCAGTCTGAAGACTCTCAAGAGAACTGGACTTCTTTAATCCCAGAGTAGGACCAAAATCTTTGCCAGAAGAGTCTGGAACACAAATGGTTAAGTTTTTATAACAAAAACCACATAGAGAAATTCAACTAGTCAGATACATTTAATTGTGTACTTTATTACTTGGGGCCTTTGAAATAGTATGCAATCAATGTAATTTGTTCTAAAAATAACATCAAGTTAAACCTAGTTCAGCAGATATCCCCATTCAGACTTGGAGGGAATGGCACATAATTTACAGACCTGACAAAGTGTTGGGCAGTAGGTGGCTCGCTCTGTGCCACTGTAAAGCTCACACCAGTGATGAGAATGGGGCTGCTTCCCCCACCTTTGCCAGTGATGTCCAACTGGACACTGCTAACAGTCTCAAGGAGAGAATTATCTTTAGACTCACAAAAAACCCCCACTGCTACACAACAAGTGTTTTGCATTTTAGGAGATGGGCTGTATGAATGGTTGATATTTTCAAACACATTTCTCCTGAGAGAAGATACATTATTAGTTTTAAGTTTTACCCAACCTTTTTCTTCAAGCTGAAACTGCTGCTATGACACTAAGATGCACAGCAGCTTTTCCAAGAAACAAGCCAAGCACAGGTTAACATAAATGATGTTGCTGTCACAGCTTCATTCCCTGATTACAGGCTTAAGAAAGCACTTCACAGAAAAACAGAGGAAATACTGAGTGTCCCAAACATTCTCTCTCTTTAAATGCTTGACTATATGACCTTAGAAAGGCTTTATTTTGCGGCAGCATTTGTGTTAATTAGTATTAATAAAATGATAGTGGAATAGGTAAAGAACAAAATTCAATGAATAGATGCACTCCAATCAATGAAGAAATTCACAGTTTAGTTTAAAAGCCTTTGCAGTGTCTACTTAGTTTTTATATGGCAGAACAGTAAATGTGTCATGGAAACACTGAGAGAGTTTGCCTTGCAATATGCCTTCTGTCTTTGAAAACTCAAGTGCTTTTGCTTTCAACTTTTAAGTAGTCCTAACAAAAGCAACAGAAGAACATAACAGAAGCCCTTCACCTACCTGTCCATACTGCCATGCCTGAAGGGATTCAAGGGTCACATAAAAGACAGGAATGTTAGCATGATTTGCTGTGATTTTAGCAATCCTAGAGTGCAAGTAATTCTGAACAGCATGTTCAGTGAATTCTTAAAAGTAAAAAAGCTGAGAATTGGCACCAAATAGAGACTTGTCAGTAGTGTCTTCATAAAGTAATTTACACTTCCCTTACCTGCAGACTGATATGTAGCTGAAAACAAGTGGGGGGTTGGGGGTGTGTGTGGAGACAAACAGGTTTTAGGGAAGCCTGGCTGCTCTACCACACAGTGCAACAGTTTTTCTGTTCACTAATTGCAATTCTGGAGACTACCATTATTGACAAATTAACAGGTGCTAAAGCAGAGTTAGAGGAATGACTCTGTAGAACATAAAGGCACTAAAAATCACTAAAAACCTGTGCATCAGTAGGAGGCACTGCGGTGCCTATCACAGGCTGAGAAGGAGAAAAACGAAGGGAAAAAAACCTGGGAAAAAAAGGCCAAGTGGAAGGCACCGATGAGCAGAGAGGAAGCTCTCTCAAGTTGCAGTCACCAGCCAGCCTTGGTGGGCTGCTTGGCCCAGGGCCCAGCAGCCACCAGCAGGGCTGCAAACCGAGGGACATGCTGCGGGCTGAGCTCCCCGGAGGAGCACCCAGCGGGAACAGCTTCACGGTGACTGCAGAGTCTGCCAGGAAGGGCTGGACACATCCCTGCCTCCGGCTCGGCCGTGTGGGCCCATGGCCTCGGGAGGTCCAGCAGCCAGCTACAGCTGCCTGGCCGGCCAGAAAAGTACAGGAGTGTTCACACACACATCCCAGTGCAAGCTGTACTGCACTCAGCTAATGCTCTAAGCTCCATTACCTGAGAAAACGGCCTCAAGTTAAATGCTGGTTACAGCCTGTTTTATATAAAGGCTGAGCCAGTTCCCCAGACTGGAAAACTGCAGTATATGAAGGCGTGTGAAATCCTATGAATTCCTAAGAAAACCCTACCAACACCTGAAGTTTGGAGTGACGCACTCACACGGCACATGGAACAGACTGAGCTGTGTGCTCAGCCTCCCCCCACACGCCGTGACTCAGACACCCGAGCACACTGAGGTGTCCTCATTTATTCAAAAACTTACTGAGAACCCTTACTCTCAGATTGGTATTGAGCATTCAGCTGACCCGTTCTAAGACTGTAATAATTTAGTATGAAATTTCACTAACAACAGTAAGAACTTCGTATTTTTTTTACAATTCAGCTTTTATTCCTTTTTTTCCCCTCCCCTTTCCTTATAGAGCTGCAGTAATCACATATTAGAGCACAGCTGAAGATACAGGAGCTAAAAAGCTTCCCTAAGCAGGGAGACCTGTCCCTTCGCTTTCTGAGCCAGCATCTATTACTGGATGCTTTCCAGAAAAATGCACAAGACTCCATAATGGACAAGGACTGCATCCCAAATTAGGAAATTTGCTTCCCCTGCCTAAGCCAGTACCTTTTTCATTTTTGCAGACCTTTAGAACTGCTGTAAGCCTGAAAACGTGATTATTTATATCATGGGTAAAAAAAACCCCAAACCAACAAATAAACAACAAAAACACTCTCTTATGTTTTACAAGTTATTAACAAGCATTTCTGGGGATACATGGTGTGTGTTTATATCTAGCCTTACCTGGATTTCTAATACAAAACCACTGTTTGGCAATAAGAAATTCAATTTCTCACTCTGTTAAAATGTTTCTTTTTATGGATTTTAAATTCCTGAGCTCTCCTTTTACTGCTTCTTGCAGTACAATGATAAAAAGCCAACTGAAGCATCCACTTTATTGTTTTTATAAATGGCGAATTACTTTATACATCTCTCCTGAATTTGTAAGAGAAAACAACAACTGACATCACTACCTGCCTAGACTGGCTGAAATCAAATTGCTGGTTCTTAGATGCTATCTGTAACTGATCATCCTTTAACTGAAAGATAGTGTTACACATACTTTAATTTTCTGCCTAATGCCAACATGGCTAACACAGATTTTTTAGTTCTAAATGTACTGGTAAAAGTAAACCCGCTTTCTGCTCTTTTGTTACTATTATTAGTCAGGTCTTTCCAAGATTATCTTTTTCCCGCATCTGCATGTTGCTTTCTTTTTTTTTTGTAGCCCAGCTGAAGGAAATATGGCAAAAGCAAGATGCTGGCCATAAAAATAAAAGGGAAGCAAAAGACATGGCATTGTGGGCAGTGCAAGCCATCCCAAAGGCACGTACAGAGGGAAGAGAAGCCATGAATCACTGTCACTCTATATGAAATACAACTCCCTAGACATTCTAAAGGGTAAACATTTTATATATTTATCATTAACTTTATTTTCTAGATAATGCTGCTTCTTGAAAACCAAAATTATGGGAATATGCCTAAAGGAGAATATTTAGAGGAACATATTTATGTGATCTAGACTGACTTACTATTTACCTTTTGAAAGACAGGTAAAAAAAAAAAGCTATAAAGGAAAAAAGAAGGGAAAACATCACTGAGACTGAGAAAATACAATAAACACAAAGTTGTAACAAATTATAAATAATTTGATTCTGATTTTACCAGTGACCTAAACACACAGTCCTGGTTCCTACTGTGTCACTAAAGGACTTGGAATGATTCACATAAACATGTCTCAGTGATATGACAAGAAAGGAAGTAACTTTATTCTCTGACTCCAGTATCTATAGATTTTTGACAATGACCAGGGATTGGATAACTAAGTTACCACCTTCCCAATCACACTGGTCATGTGAAATGTCCATCAAAGGATGTTTCTTAGAAGGCCCTGTGGAGACTGGGAAGCTGGAGAGAACATGGGACTGCTTTTAGCAGGCAAACAACTGTTTGAGCACAAAGCATTGATGGTGGCTTCTTTAGTGGTAGGACTCAGAGTGAGATGTGCCAACAGCTGCGAAGGAAGCAGGTACAGCTCAGTGCCTGCTCTCCTTTGGACACACACCTCGAGTAACACTCATGATGTTCAGCTTAACCCAGGCCTACCCCAACCTAAAGGACAAGCAAGACTGCAACATCATACGGCAACTTAAACTACTTCACGTTCCATTCTTTCTTAACCACTTGTTTAATGTAATTTCATTTATTCTGGTAGGATTCATAGTATGCACAATTACAAAGGATTTTTTCCTCTCACTAATATTTTTATATTCAGCTAGTCCTTCAATCACCCACCAATTCAATGCGAGAATTATTTAGGAAGGAGGAATCTGAAAGTCATTACATCTTTTAGCTTGTGATTTTTAAATGAAGAGCTTTAATATAACAGTTCTGTAGAAAAGTCTCAGATCACACACTAGCTTTTTCTTCAACACTGATTTATACAGGTGACATTGAAAAGATTAAGGGCTTGATGAAAAGCAAGAGAAGAATCACTATCTTGCACTTACATATTAAAGACAAGATATATAGTTTTTGCTCATTTAATACCTCAATCTAAGCATTCCAAATAATTATCAGAAATACTGAACACAGAACAACCCTGCAACTGACAGAAAAACAAAATCTAATAAAGAGAAATCAAAGCATAGGAGAATTTAACATGTTCTCTGATTGTAAGAGACAGCTACATCTTCAGATTTAAAGATATTTCAATCTATTTTACTACATGTAATGATTGCAATTTAGCCCACATTTGCACAGACTGCAGTTTCAGCTATGAATAATGACAGATCACAATTTGGGGCCCAGAAGGTATGCTGAGCCTTAGCCAGCTGAAAAGGAAATGCTTGGAATAAGGTAGCCATTAGGCAAGAAGTGAAAATGCACTACTGTCATCTTAGAAACCTATGCTGGTGTTGCTGTTTTCTACAGTGCTATCACTAACCAACAACAACAACACTGCAGTGAAACGTGCTACTATTTCAAAAAGAATATGTAAGGCATTTAACATCTCAAAAATGCTAACAAGTTTTCCAGTGCAACAATATTAAAGCTAAGAATTAGAAG